AACTTGCTGTGAAGTTTGGTTGGTAAGATAGTTCGTGGCAATGGGACTTGGTGTTACCTCAAGCTGAATTTGCCTACAACAGGTCACAGAATTGAACTACAGGCAAGAGTCCTTTTGAGATAGTCTATGGGTGTAATCGAATTACTCCTCTGGATCTCACACCATTGCCAGTTTGCAAGCAGTTCAGTTCAGATGCAAATGAGCATGCCAAGCAGATCAAAGAGCTGCATTCACATGTCCATAATCAGATCAACAAGCAAAATATGAAGTATAAGCAGCGACTGGATAGGCGCAGGAAAAGAGTCGTTTTCAAAGAGGGTGATCTAGTGTGGATTCACCTTAGAAAAAAGCATTTTCCAGCTAGCAGGTTTGGCAAATTTCAACCCAGAGCTGATGGACCACTCAGAGTTCTTGAGCGAATTAATGACAATGCTTATAAGATCGAGCTGCCGGGTGAGTACAATGTATCAGAGACTTTTAATGTAGCGGATTTGTCACCTTACCATGCAGATGAGGAAGAACCTGAGGAGATTGATATCAATGAAGATGAAGATGAAGTAGGCTCGAGGGCGAATTTTTTTTCCTAGTAGGGGAGGATGATGCACTTAGATTGGCGAACTTGGAATGGAGTGAAATTTGATCGGTTGTATGGAAACGGGCCGCTGATCAATACTCACAGCTTCGCTATGATCATGTCATTTAGATGGGTTTTCAGGCTTTTTGGGTTTTAGGTAGTTTTCGTTATTTTTAATGTTATTTTAATGGCGTTTTCATAATTTTCATGTTTCCTATTGTAATTAGGTTTAACACCATATAAAAGGGTGCTTGGGGTTTCGTTATTGGGGGATTTTTTTTTTGGATATTTGATTTTTATAAACACTTGAGAGGACAAATTGTTCCTCTATCGAATATTCCTGTTTAGTCAATTTTCTATCGCAATTTGCTGTCAAGTAGTTCGAAAGGTTGACCTATTCGGGAATCTCTGGATGTATCTATCACAACTTTCATAGAACTCATGAGACACTCTAAGACTACGTCAAAAGGATCTTCATCGATGAGATGATTGTTCCCAGAGCCGCTATTACCAGACATTGTGTTCCCAAGATCTTCCTTATTTTGATACCAAAGTGGCACAGTAGATTCGGATAAATACGAGTTGCGTAAATGCTCATGAAGCACAATAGAGAAAAGCTTTCAATTTTCTATTAATTCAAAGGATATACTCATTAAAAGAAGACAATGATACGATCAATCCTAAAGATTCCCAATAAAAGACAAATAAAAAAATATCAAAAAAGTAAATAAAATCTTTTAAATATTATCTAGTATTAAAGCACCCAAAAGTCTAAGAAAACTATCGAAATTTCATAAATCTAAAGACCGATTAAATAAAGTAAGATTATACTAAATCTATCAAATAACATATGAAAATCTTGCATCATTCGACAGATCTGTCTCAAAGTTAGGGGTGTCAAATGGGTGGGCCGGGTTGGGTTTGGGTTGGGTCGAAAATAGTACGACCCATATTGACCCATTTTTATACAATACAATTTTAACAATCCATACTTGATCCTACCCTGACCCAATCATACCCAACTTGACCCATACTACTAAAGCAGACCCATACTTAACCCTAATTATGAAAATAAATACCAACCCATTTAACTCACTTTAAGCTCTTCTTGTTAATATGTTACTTAGATAGAATTTTATATTAAATTAAAAAAGTAAAATAACAAAATATGAAGATGTAAGTAAATAAAAGGGATAATGACACAAACAGTCTCTGAACTTTGACCTAATATGCAATTTGGTCCTTGAACTTTTAATTTGTTCAATATAGTCCCTAAACTTTAGCCTAATGTTCAATTTGATCCTTGAACATTTAATCTGTTCAATGTGATCCCTGAACTTTTAGCATATGTTCAATTTAGTCCCTGAGCTATATGAAAATATTCAATATAGTCCTTGCACTTGAATTAATGAAAGGACTACATTGAAAATTTTCAAATAGTTCAGGGACTAAATTGTACACATACTAAAAGTTCAGGGACCACATTGAACGAATTAAAAGTTCAACGGCCAAAGTGAACATTAGGCTAAAGTTCAAGGACTATATTGAACAAATTAAAAGTTTAGGGATCAAATTACACATTGAGTCAAAGTTCGGGGACTATTTGTGTCATTTTCCTTAAATAAAAGGAAAAATGCATAAAAAAAAAATCAAAGATGCCAAAGCCACTCTTGAAGAGCTTGAAGGGGAAGACGATCCATTGCAGCTTCACGGTGCCGGAGCCGCCGGTAATGGCAAAGAAGGTGTCATGGTAGGTGAGGTAGGGGCCCTGGACCGAGATGTTCTTGTAGTCGCCGAAGTAGAAGCTATAGATGGTCTCGTAACAGTTGCCGCCCTTGTCAGGGAGGTGCTTGATGAAGAGGTGACGCCGAGACCGAAGGTGACGCTAGAGGTCATCGGAGTTGAGTTTGTTGGTGAAGGGGACGAGGTCGCCAAGGGAGTTGACAGCCTTCTGGCTCAGCCATTGCTTTGGTTGTTGCGGAGTGCTGTCACGGCTCTGGTGGTTTGATAATGCAAAGTGTGGGTCAACCATGGCGTCATCGGTGCACTGCCCTTGGCTTCGGAAGTGAAGACCTTGGTCTCGGGGTCCTCGTTGGGGAGGTCGAGGTTGATCGTGCGGACAATCGTGGCGAATGCGGACATGGTGGAAAGGGCGGCGTTAGGGTTTTACGGTGGTAAATATGATTGTGATGAGTGAGCGAAATGAGGAGAGAGAGAGAGGAGAAAGAGGAACGATCGTGAGAGACTAAAGAGGGAGACCAAGAGAGACCTATTTTGCTGGGCTGAATAGGTCAAATATGGGTCATAAGCAAATCTATCATGACCTATTTTTTAGGCTTTTATTTTCTTCTTAACCCACATAGTCCCATTTTACAAAAAAACGAATCTCATGTAGAATTGAACATCCTAAAACTGAGTTACAAAATGGGTACATGACTCATTTTGCCAGCTCTACTCAAAGTTTGGTTGGAATCTTTTATCACATTGAAATTTTATATTGAAAGTCAAATTAACGTACGCTCAAGTTAATTTCTCCATATTTGATGGCGATGCGAGGAAAGCTCAACTTTACATTTGAAGGCTATGTGAGGAAGGAATTAGGTACAACGGCCCATTTGGTTTAGCATTGCAAATGGTCTTTAGGACTCTAAGGTCCATTGGGCAAATACAAATGGCGTTTGGTTCATTTTTTACTCAATTCTGGGGAAATGCAATTGCATTTCCAAAGGCCTCTGAGAGGCCTTTATTTAGCACAAGACAAGTTCGGAGGTCCTTTAGAAAGTAGCATTTCCAGAATGCATATAGACTTTTTTTCTTCCAACTTTGCCCTCGCTCAACTTTTATAATTTTAGAAATGTCCCTACCTAACGTGACGTCACCTACTAGGTTTTAGGTAGCCACAGGTGGCCGACAAGCATCGGGTGAGACTCCGGTGAGGTAGTATGTGACTGCCGACGAGCCAGATCTATTGTTAGCAGCCTCACTTGAGGTTGCCCAACCTTAGGCGACCAATAGGCAATGGCCACCTGGGTTTGCGTGACCTTGGCGACGGTTGCCTGAGGTCGGGTGACCTTAGGGGAGGTTGCCGGCGCCAGATCTGGCTTGGCGGTAGCTAGATGTAGCCTCTCCGGAGGCTCACCGCTCTCCCGTTAGCCGCTGATTCTTATCGATTTTGTGTTTTTCTTATAAAAAAAATAACAAAAATGCTTTTCAAAGTGTGATTTTGCCAAACACCATTTAAGCAAAAGTTGTTTCCCAATACACTTTAAAATTACAATTTACCAAATACTATTTGCATTTTGGGAAATCTTTTTAGCCCAAGGCATTTGCCTTTTCCCAAAAACATTTTCCCAAAATCGAACCAAATAGGCCGTACAAGTCAAGATTCTTTTCTTTTTTATTCTTTTTCATCCGAGTCATTGTAGCAGTTCTTAGTTGCGTTTCCTGGACTCTGATAAGTTGACTTTGGGTCAACTTAATAAATACTTTCTTTCTGTGCTGGAAAGTTTTGTTTCTAGCAAAAAAAGGTTATTTAGAGGGAAAAAGCCACAAAAAAAACTTCAAACTATGTCCACTGTGACATATTTACCCTGAATTTTTTTGTGACATCGAAAATTACAAACTATGCTTAGTATAACACATTTACCCTAAACTTTTTCTTGTGACATAAAAAACTCCAAACTTATAACTATGTGACACATTTACTCTCAATCAAGGTTCTGTCAGATGATTTTTCAGCAAAAATGTCGCTTTTATTTCACTCAAGCTACATGGGCGCTATGTCAATACTATTGTTTTCTAGAGTTCATGTAAGTAGATTTTTAATATTGCTTATTGATGAAACATTGATAGACAGTAAATATGTCACACAGGTACGAGTTGAGATTTTTTATGTCACGGAAAAAAATTAGGATAAATATGCCATGGTGTGTATAGTTTGAGATTTTTTGTGGCTTTTGTCCTTATTTAAAATGTTGGGTGAAGATACGAAATAACCATCATCTTTTTGGACAGCTACGTGCTGTTAAAAGATGCGTCACTCAATAATATATATATTGGTTATCTCTTAGCCGAGGGGCAAAAAAATACTTGTTATCTCAAGCTCTTTTCATATCATATATTTGGAAGAAGAATGTTAAAATGATGTCCCTGTGTCATCACAAAATGGAAGATACGGTTTTCCAGGTGTTCAATTCATTTTGGTATGTGCAGTTCCTGTAGTTTTACTCATCTTTGACGAAGTTTGAATGCGCTTGTTGCTTCTCAACAAGTATTCCTAACTACCCTTCAACATAACCTTTTCGTTGGAATCAAGCATGTTTCCATAATCAGTTCCAATTAAATTAGGTACACTTGCATTCAGGTTGTCTGGATCCGGGTCAATCCAGGTCTACCATATATTCATCTCGTTCTAAAACTTGGTGACTCGAGTTAAAAAGGCCAAAAAGACAGAGGGAGAGAGAGAGAGAAACAAATAGCTCTGCAGGCAATTCCCACCAATTCTTGACGATGAACGTCCCCTATCATTCATCATCATCGTCATCATCCGCATCCTCTGTGCGGCCACCATTCGAAGTGGTCGTGAGCTTTAGAGGAGAGGATACGCACGAGCATCTCGCTTATCCCCTTGTCACCGGCTTGACCGCCGTGGGGATAAGCGTGTTTAGAGGCAAAAGGAAGCTGGGGGCAGACAAGGAAATTGACCCTGCGCTGGTCGAAGCGATTGGACAGTCGAAGATATTGATACCCATCATCTCGCCGGAGTACGTTTCCAGCAAAAGCTGCCTCATGGTGCTGGCCAAGATGTTGGATTTCATGGACACCATGAACCATGCCATCATTCCTATTTTCTATCGCATCAACCCGTCCTTCGCGGATCACAAAAAACGAGGGAGCGATGGCATGCTCGTCGACCCCTTGAAGTCCGCCCTCCATCGGATTGGACAATTGGAGGGATATCGTGTTGACGACGCGAGCGACCGGTAATTCTACTCTACTTTCCTTTGCTTGTACCTCCTTGTAAACTCCAGTGCGAAGTGATTGAGGTCGAATTATCAAGTCGTTGGAGATAATCTGGCGAATAGTGGAGCATTTGAGACTTTAGGAGCACCCAGCTACTTTCTATGCTTTGAAATGGCTCCTGGAGAAAGCACGATTGTGATTATTCAAAACAGTGGCCTTAATTTGATTTTGGACTTGTTTTAGTAGCTTTTCAATAGCTTCCTACTTCGCCACACCAACACATCGGAGGTGGGAGTGGGACATCGATAACTTCTTTTTTTTGGGAGAGGAGATGGCAAGCACTTTGCACATATAAATCCTGAGTTCGTAGAAGAACTAGTCCTTTGTAGAATAGAAATAAGCTGTTTGGATGACTACTCAGTCTTTAGAGACAACAAAAACCTTGTATGGTTTCCGGGTCCGACGTAATAATAGATGACCTAAACCATGAGTAAGAACTCATGTGGAGCACACACTAATTCCACAAATTTATATAGACTCAATTTTGTATTGTGATTGATTTTATTCGTCAGTCATTCATGACTTCCCTTAAGTTGCCTTGTACTCATAAGTCACCAGTTGGCTATAAGTCAACTCGAGTATTCTGCTTCATTCTTCTGCCTTTCTTGTTATTTCTTTCCTTAGTTTCTCAGGATCATACGTTGTTTTCATCTACTCATTTTGTTTGTTTGGAATGGCAGGCTTATATCTGAGCTCGTGTTGTATGTCACTCGGCAGCTGAAGAAAGCTGAACTAGTTGGTACTTCCATGCCAGTTGGAATTGATAATCAAGTCCGCGAGATGATGACGAGGCTTGACATCGACTATCGCAATAAACAAGCGATTGATATTTGCAGCAATGAGGTCCGAATGGTTGGAATACATGGTATCGAGGGGATCGGGAAAACAACTCTCGTAAAGTTTGTTTACAACCAACTATATCCTCTGTTTGAAGGCTGTAGCTATCTGGGAAACATCCGAGAGATATCGAGAACCGAGTCCCTCGAGCATCTGCAAAGCCAACTGGTTTCTGACCTGCTAAAACAGGAACCTTTAACCTTTCGTTCCTTAGAAGATGGTATTTACCACATCAGACATAAGTTTCGCAATATGAGAGTTCTCATCGTGCTCGATGATGTCAATGAGCAGCATCATCTCGAAGCATTTGCCGGGAAGCTAAGCTGGTTTGGGTCGAGAAGCAGGATAATTATAACAACCAGAAAACCCAATCTTCTTAATATCCCTGAAGTGGTTGAGACTTATGAAGTTCAGCCTATGGACGCAGATCAATCCCTTCGTCTTTTCTGTCAACATGCGTTTGGGGGAAGTTCTCCCCGGGAGGGATTTGGTGAACTTTCCAAGGACATTGTTTCCACAGCTAGAGGGCTTCCTATAGCAATTGAGGTTGTAGGTTCCTTTCTGTACAGAAAAGACAAACAAATATGGACTGAGACGTCAAAGAAACTAAAGAAAAGACCAGTCCATCCTGTCCAACAAGTGTTGATGACTAGCTTGGACGCTCTAGATCCAGAGACAAAAGAAATATTTCTCGATATTGCTTGTTTCTTAATAGGAAAGGACAAGAGAATGCCCTTTTACATGTGGGAGGGCTGCGATTTTCATCCTTGTAGTGGTGTTGAGAGTCTCCTTCTCATTTCCCTGGTGAAAATCGGAGAGAACAATGAGCTCTTGGTGAATGATCTATTAAGAGACCTTGGTCGAGCAATTGTCTCCAAGGAAGACCCTGCCAACCCTGGAAAGCGCAGCAGGCTGTGGGATCACAAGGACGCCCTCTATACCTTAAGGAGAAAAAAAGTAAAATTATCCTTGTTTTGGAATTCTATGTATGCGATACTTTCTTTCTTACTCTAACCACTATAATTCACTTTTCTTCTTTAATTCTACAGGGAACGAAAAGGGTTCAAGCCCTCTGTCTCAAGGTCGACAATGGTTCAGACAAGTGTTTCACATGTGTCGAATTTCAAAACCTGTCCAAGCTGAGGTTCCTTAAATTGGACAATGCAAATATCCAGGGAGATTTCACGAATCTACTCTGCAATTTAAGGTGGCTTGACTGGCGAGGGTGCCCCGCAACCTTTGATGCCATTAACTTGCATCTGGAGAACTTGGTGATTCTTGATTTATCAGGGAGCAAGGTCACTCAAAACTGGGAGGGTTGGAGTCAAATCAAGGTGAAGTGGAACATATTTCATTTCGTTCAACTCATCACCAGGAATTAACTTTGTCTGAAATATGTCCTATTTTGGATTGCAGATGCCACGGTTAAAAGTTTTGAACCTCACACGGTGTAATGAAATGCTGATAACTCCCAACTTCTCTGGTTACCCGCTGTTGGAGATGTTGATTCTCGAAGGCTGTTTTCAATTGGTCAAGCTAGACAATTCAATTTGTCAACTAAGCTTCTTGGTTTCCTTGAACTTGAAATCCTGCTATAATCTTAATGTGTTGCCGCAGGAAATTGGTAACATGGAAGCGCTGAAAGAGCTTCTCATTGATGGTACTTCTATACAGGAAATCCCCGAATCGATAGCTCGTACGGAGAAACTCGAAATTCTTAGTGCCTCCAATTGCTCCTCATTAACTTACCTGCCCGAATCCATTTGCAATATAAAAGCTCTTTCGATGCTCTTGCTGGACAATGTGAAGATCCCCGAACTCCCCGATTCAGTCGGAAGTTTGGTGAAGCTTAAACGGTTGTCGTTGAGGGAATGCCGGCGGATACAGAAACTTCCAGAATCTATCGGCAAGTTAGGATGCTCATTGGTGGAGTTGGACATATCAGGGACGCCTATTTGGGAACTGCCTGATTCCATGAGAAACCTGCACCGACTGAGAGTTCTTAAGATGGAACATTGTCCTGTGCGAGAGTTTCCTAGTGCCATTGGCGAGCTAAGGAAGCTTGAAGAGATCCATGCCTCCCACTGTACGAGTTTGGAGGGAAGCATTCCTAATGACATTCACAATCTACAATTCTTGAACATATTGATCCTAGGACATAGTGGTGTTTCTAGACTACCACGGTCAATCCAGTTGCTAACCCATCTCCAGACCCTCGATTTACTTACTTGCAACAACCTTGAAATGTTGCCGATGCTTCCCCCGAGTTTGACTTGTCTGCGAATAAGCTCAAAGAAGATGAGCATAATCCCAAATATTCAGCATTTAGTTGAATTGGAAGAATTGAGCTTTGGCGATGACAATCCCAAGGAGCTAATAGTTCCTCGTAACCCTGCATCCATTTCGACCGAGCAGAATTTTCCTTGGTCTGTAAGGTTTCCGAAACTCAGGAGCTTAGAGTTTTCTCATTCCCAAATCCGCAATTTGAGATTTGAGTACGGCTCTGCATGCGTTCCTCAGCTCAAGGAAGTCTTCCTGAGGTGCGCGAACCTTCAAGGAGTATTGGGGCTTCCCTCATCGTTGTCCGTCTTGTCGATCCGAGCTTGTTCTTCGCTGACGAGTTTGCCGACAGTCCAGAATTTGAGTCACTTGTTGGAGCTAGAGCTCTTGAACACGGCTGTCAAAGAGATTGAAGGACTTGGAGGGCTAAAAAGCCTAGAGATCCTGTTGGTGTCGGATTGCGAGCTAGTACATCTCAACGGCCTCTCCGAATTGAGATTATTAAAGAGATTGTCTCTCAAGAACTGCAAGTCCCTCAAGTTGCCCACCGTATCTGGCCTCACCATGTTGAAAGTCCTGGAAATCCACAGGTGCCAGAAGATCCGCAACATCGAAGGCCTTGAGGAATTGACATTGGAGGAGCTGCTCGTGAGTGAATGTAAGGCTGCAAGTTCAGCTGAAGTAAGACGAGCCCTGAGGAGTATCGGAAAACGTTTGAGGACATCATCCCCTTGAGTGTGATCACCATGTCATATGATGCATGTGTTCTGCTTTTCCCCTTGAGTATCACAAATGTTTGTTTTCTTTTGATTTCTCACCATGCTATTGACGAAAAGTGGAATAACTAGTCATTCTTATGTTTCAATATAATCCAAGAGCAGAGAAGTCGCATGTAATTTGGATAGTTTCAGGTAAAGTGAAATCCATGACATCTCGCACTTCTAAACGATGCATTACGCCACTTCCGGGAGTTATTTCCTTTTCACTTAACAGAATGTGTACTAGTTTTCTTGAATTCTTTCACTGCCTGACAAATTTGCAACACGAATAGCTATTCTCGTGATGTAGCTACGCTAATCTGAATTCAGATGGTTGGGGCAGCAAAATTGGATCTCACTCTCTGGTTTGAATCACCACGACGACGGGATCGAATCTAAGAAAATCTAAAGTTGAGATGGAAATTAAAAGGCGTGCAAATTAGAGCAAATAAACGATAGGAATCACAGCTTACAAATTAATGGGACAGAATTTATGATAGGTGTCGATGCACAGGTTAGGATGTCCGGGCTTATACCCTAGTTGTCCTCCTATGCTTAAGTTAGGCCTGAGAAAGATGGCCATGTAAGATTGAAACGCACTGTCTTGGAAATGGTGAAGGACAAGTATCGCATATTCGTGGGCAATTTGTCGTCCATGTTCCGTATAACTCTGAAATGTCATCGCTGTGTATGTGGTGTGGCCGGCGAACAATATTGATGACCTCAATCTTTGGACCGGTGAACAAGGGCAAAAGGACACCAAAAGTGCTATAAGTTGTGTACGGAGGACATTTTGATGCCATAACTTTTTTTCGAATCACTTTGGTGCCAAAATCGGAGGAAAATAGATCACTTTAATGACTCCGACCAAAATTCCAGCCAAAAAGCTGATGTGGCATTTATATTTTAAAAAAAATGGTCTGACTTGTACACGTGGAAATTATGTGGCTTTTTTTTCGAATTTTTTAATCTGAAAGTTAGGAAAAAAAAAGATTAAAAAGATTAAAAAATTCGAAAAAAAAGCCACATAATTTCCACGTGTACAAGTCAGACCATTTTTTTAAAATATAAATGCCACATCAGCTTTTTGGCCGGAATTTTGGTCGGAGTCACTAAAGTGATCTATTTTCCTCCGATTTTGGCACCAAAGTAATTCGAAAAAAAATTATGGCACAAAAGTGTCCTCCGTACATAACTTATGACACTTCTAGTGTCCTTTTGCCGGTGAACAAGCGAGAGCTTGTCTCTCAAAAGTGGAAACTTGGAGAAGATCGCTGACTGTCCTCGACAAGGCCACAATCATGACTATGGACTCTCCTTCTCTCTCTCCGCAGTCGTTGTCTTCATTCCTTGCGCTTCTTTTTTGTCCACCTTTAACGTCTCTGTTATTGCTCAGTTTCAAGGCCCTGGGAAGAGGTCGAGGTCGTTGGCCCACCTGGAGGAAGCTCACTCAACCTGGCATCGTTAAATCCCTCATTACAATCGGGACCAAGGTGGCCTTCTTTCTTTGTTCGTTCTAATCTTGAAAATGGAAGGGCAAAACCTTTTGATATATATTAATTCTGTACAATTACATTGATGTATTTATAGTCAAAGAATGTAAGTAAAAAGAGAAATAATATACAGACAATTATGAATTTCCTATTCACTGTATCAATCACGGATTTACCTAATCAATCAGCCCTTAATTAGAATCGGCACCACGATCAGGATCTTCAAATATATCTTCCAATAATAACTCTAATACTCCCCCTCAAGTTGGTGAGTGCATGAACGTCAACAACTTGTGCTTGAAAGAAAGAAAAAGAGCACGAGAAATGGCTTTTGTGAATAGATCTGCGAGCTGTGAATGGCTAGGAATATGAAGAGGTCGAAGTGTGCCATCCTGAATTTTTTCACGAATGAGATGGCAATCAATCTCAATGTGTTTGGTACGCTCATGGAAGACTGGATTAGTAGCAATATGGATAGCCGCTTGGTTGTCACAAAAAAGGTCGGCAGTGGACAACGGGACGGCAAGATCGGTGAGAAGCATGCGAAGCCATGTAATCTCACAAGCTGCAGATGCCATGGCTCTGTATTCAACTTCGGCTGAAGACCGAGCAACAGTTGTCACACCCCGAACACAACCAAAACGGGATCATAACTCGGCCGTCCTTTCACCCAAAGGACGCAGCCTCAACTTAAACAAAACCCGAATAACATCAGAGCTTTCTAAAACCATCAAAAGGATATAGACAAATCCAACAAAAAGCTATTCCAATAGCTCAACGTCACTATATACTGTTGACACCTAAATTTCGGCGCATCATTTAGTGGTTAATTGCATAGAAAATTATGGATTAAATTTTAACCCCTAAACAAAAATATTAAAATTGCATAGCATATAGTTTAGGTTCATATAGATTAATTGCATTCCGCATCGGATGGGCGGTGGTAAGCGAGCTTGAAATTCATCACGTAAATCGAGCTCGGGCACCGAACGAGACTCGGCTCACTCGGAAAGCATGGGACGAAAATCACACGCAAAAAGGCTTGGTTGTCTTAATTTGATCTTAAATTAGCCCATTATGCTTAATTAAAGAAAAGCCCAAATTAATTCAGCCCACTTAGAATTAAATTAAAGCTTAAACCTAAGCCCATTAGGACTAGAAAGCCCGGCTAATTGACCTAGATTTACACTATAAATATATATTTATGTCTTATAATCGGGGGCTCTCATAATTTTTAGAAGACAATTCCTTATAGCAAGAGTGAAACACGTGAGAGAGAGGAGGGAAGAGAAAAGTTTTCGTTTCTTCCTGCTGGTTCTGGAGGTTAGCAATTTTTGAGAGAATTGAGAAGCCGCACCATACAGACGAAGGAGAAGAATTCAAGACCAAGACAGAGAGTTCTCAATCGGGAGAGCACTCATACAGAAGTCCATTGGCCGAGGGGGACACTTTCACTCACTGCATGAAGAATAAATGTTCACGTTGACATGCAAGATGTCAGAGCCAATATGGTGAGCCCCGCATGTTGCTGTTCCTTTTCTCTGTGTCACACCCACGACAAATCCAAGAGATCCCCGTCGGCATTAAGCGAGTTCACCACCATCACCGCAACTTAGCGAGTTTCCACAAATTTTCCCGAAAGTTGCGAGGATCACCGCAGGCCATCGTTCCACCGTGCCAACCACGACCGTGAGTGAGCCCACCGTGGCCGCTTCGTCCGTGAGCTAGGAGCCTAGCCGAGCCGCCCCTGCGCCACTGTCGACCGCCGGAGAGCCGCCCGTCCCCGCCTTTTGGCTATTGCTCGGAGACGCCCGCCGCGCCCCCGTTCCCGTCGTGTCACCGTCGCTAGCCACCACTATTCCCGACGTCGCGCCGCCGCTCCCGACGCACCGCCGATCCGCAATCCCGATCCGCTGAAGATTCAAATTAGGAAAGAAATCTGCAAATCAGGTAATTATCATATCCCGATTTGATTCGAATATTTGGTTGCCTAATTTGTGCTTATTGATATTTAATTTTGCATATTTGGATAATAAGCATTATTCCAATTAGGATTTTATTTCCTTTTTTTGAAATCTTGGATATCTATTATTTTTCAAATTTGGATAGAATTTAGAATTTTCAAAATCTTTTGAATATATCCAAGATATTTAAGATATCTAATTTTTTTCAAGATGTGATCGATTAGGAAAATTCCTTAATCCGCAACCGCACACGTGGAAATAAATTTATCTATCAGGCTTTAGATAAAGTTATTTCCATAGCGGGTATTTCGAATTTTAGGATCGATCTGTCATGCTTCAGATCGAAACTTAATTCGAAAGATTTAGCGGTTATATTTTTTTTTACTGGATTTTAATTTCGAATTTTTGATAAAAAAAATACCAAAAAGATTACTCTAGAATAGGTTAATTTCTTTAGTTTAAAATTGCATGCTTAGATAATTGGCATTTTTAATTCCGAATTTCATTAAAAAAAATACAAAAAATAATATGCCCGTCATTAAAAATAGGTCACGTCGTCGCATGACATATAGTTTGCATGTTAGGTTGCATTAATCGCAAGTCAATTTTTGCACGTCATTACATATAGGCTAGCTTTCATTTAAATAAAAGAAAATCAAAAAAAGAAATTTCTGCACCTTTGAACTCTAAGCCATGATTTATCAAAATTGTCAAATTGAGTATTTTCCTGAAATTGGTACCGAAAGGGCGTTAGGGAATCTAGCGTAACCAAGTCCCCGAATCTATAATTTCTGGTTCGCAGAAATAAAATAGTACTCCCGCTATTTTATTTAGGTTTCTAATCAACCTACCTTAAATGATTAGTGGCGACTCCCATTGAAAATATTTGCATGCTCACAATTGGACCTAAGTTGCGGTTTGGTAGAGTTTGGGAGAACTCGAGCTAGGTTAGTTAATTTAATTGATCTAGTAATCCATTAGCCTAAGATCGAAAACCCGATTTTTTTTAGGTCGCGACAGCTTGGCGACTCCGCTGGGGATCGAACTTGAATTTTTTTTTTAAAAAATTTTAAGGAGGACTTAGGCCAAAAAAAATTTTTATGGAAAAATCATATGATTTGACAAAATTTGATTGAATTCTCATTCTTAGGTGTTATATGGTTTTGCAGGATGGGAGTTATAAGGGGAGTAGTGATTGGCTAACCCTTTGTTTTGCAGGCTTGGTGGAGTGGAATTGTGATTTAATTTTTGTACTATTGAAGTGGTGTTTGCGTATAATTGTTGTGCATGATTTACAGTATTTACACTACACCACACACAACCTGTGACCGGACCTGGGTCACACCCATAGTTTTAAGATGGTATTTAAATGGTTCTTTAACCTTGGTGGTAAGACTTCGCTAAAGGTTATCCCATTTGGATGCCGAAAATTTTTCAAAAAATGGCTCAAGGGTCGCCCTCATGCACGTGAGGCTACAATGCATGGAGGTTAACCTTGTCGACCGAACCGAGCCGAAGTGATTGGACCCGACTAGTCATGACTATTGTATGCGAGGCTGCGACTAGTCATGATGATTGTGCGCGAGGCTGCGACATGTCGTTCCGTTCATCATTTCATTTTTGCCAAAGCCTTTAGGATAGATAGATTAAGGTTTAAACTCACGATCCATGTGCATGTCTCTGTGATTGACATTTTCTCCCCAAAGACGGTAATTTCTCGAGCTTTATCTTTGATTTTCTTCATCTTATTTTGAGTCGG